TTTTTGTGGTACCAGAGATCGAACTCAGGACCTTGTGCTTGCCAGGCAAGCACTTATTCCACTGAGCTATCTATCTCCCCAGCCCCTTAATTCTCTCTTTCAAGGAATTTATCTCAACGATAGTTTTTTCTTGGAAGTATATAAAAAAGTACATTTGAGTCCATTTAAATTTAGACAAATACTGCAAAGTAGAAGAGTATTTTACTGGGACACTAAATTCTTGTTAAATAAGGTAGAGAGTAAACTAATGAACAAACAGTTCTGATTGCTAAGTTAGAATGAGTAGAGTGGAGCAACATCCATCCTTGGATAATTTTTTTTTTCCTGTGTTAAAAGGAAGTTGAAGGCTGAGAAGATAGCTCAGTAGAGTAAGCGCTTGCCTGGCAAGCACACGGTCCTGAGTTCAATCCCCAGTACTGCAAAAAAAAAAAAAAGTCGAATGTGGAGGACTGATGGGCAGTATATGGTGTAGATGGCCAGCAGGAGTGGGTGACAGGATCATCGTGGCAGGACAGGGCAGGTGCCAAGCGGATGGGGGAGACACTCATTCAGCAAGCACTCACCAAGCCCCCTAACAGGTAGCTATGAACTGCTGCCCAGTGAAGCCAGTTTTTAGAAAGAGCTGAGAGACACTGGTGACTTAGCAAGAAATGGCTGTACAGTGGGGCGCAGGAGCTTCATTCATTGGGCTCTCGGAGCTCATCGGCAAGATTTTTCACTTTGTGTAAAGAAAAGATTAGGTTAGCAGTGCAGTTACAGCTTGCATGAAAATCAAAAGTATTGTGATCAGTTACTGTGAGTAGCATTCTAAAAATGAAATACCTTTCTCTGCAAGTCCTTGATTGGCTGGAGGAATGTCACACGGCTGCTGGTGTTTTCCACTGATGCTGGGTTTCACTTTGCTGGAGATGGGAAACTTGGTGGCATTGTTTTGCCCAATGATGGCCAGTGTCACCTGGAGAACAACATGTACACGATGAGCCATTATTACGTAAGTGCCTGAGTCCTCCTCACCTCGGGATGGCTCTGTGTGAAGTGTCCATATTCAGCGAGTTCGGGTGGGTTTGGCCAGTATACGCCTTCCGGAGTGGCCAGCTCAGCTGGCCTCGCTGGCTCGGGCGATGCAGCTGCTGCCTGCATTCAGAGCAGGGCTCAAGGGGTGGGCACCCTTCCTCAGCCCATAGCTGACCCCTTTCACCTGCATGTTTATTCCCCGTAGCTGACCCCTTTCACCTGCATGTTTATCCCACTCACTAGGAGAGTTGCTGGTATTTCTAAACAAATAATTCATCTAATTTTATATTCTCATTTTGTTTTATTTTACATTAGTTTTAAATACATCCTGCTTTTAATGAAAATAAAAATTGGCAAATTACTCAAAGTCTTGAAAACATCTAACTATTGATGGATCTTGATTTTTTTCTTCTCTTTGTTTTTGTTTTGTTGTTTGAGACAGGGTTTCACTATGTAGTTCAGGCTGGCCTCCATCCTCCTGCCTCAGCCTCTCAAGTGCTGGATTATAGGCATGTGCCACCAGGCCCAGCTCCCTCCAGCTTTGTCTTTATTGAGAGATAATAGAACCTTTAATTACTTTTGTTTGGTTTCATCATCCTTATTGTACATAGATTATCTTATCATTTAAGATATATTTAATAAAGAAATTCTCCTACTGCAAAGTAGAGAAGATTAGAATCCAGCATATTAACAAAAAGAGAAAGTGACATACAAACGCTGCCCATTGGGGTGAGCACTTATGTTTTATACTCTTGCTTGAATCTTTTATTATTTCGAGGAAAAGCTGAGGCGCAGGGAGGTGCACTTACTCACTGAATTGTGTTCCTGAACGCTTAGGATTACCCCTCCATCGCACACCTTGTCCAGAAGCTGAGTGAGAACAACATTCAGACGATTTTTGCTGTTACTGAAGAATTTCAGCCTGTTTATAAGGTAAATATTTGTGACATAAAAAGTTCTAACTTGTTTTGTTTTGTTATTAGAGACAAAATTTTTTGTCTGGAATGAAATATAGGGAAATGCTACCACATGGGCACATAGAATTTTCTAAGAGATTCCTGTGGGCTGGGGAGATAGCCCAGTGGAATAAGCGCTTGCCTGGCAAGAGTAAGGACCTGGGTTCAATCCCCAGTTCTGGAAAAAAACAAAAAGCAAAAAATAAGAGATTCCTGTAATTTTTAATTACACCTCATTAAACTAGCTCTCTTCTTTCAAGTTTGGTGCTTAAAGTTTAGGAAATGTACAGTGAGCTGACATTTAAAGCTACCTGTTACTTGCTCAGTGAATTCTAACTGGCTCAGTGACTGATGCTGGTATTTTACGTGTTTTATCTTTCAATGGCAGGAACTGAAAAATCTGATCCCTAAGTCAGCGGTAGGAGTGTTGTCTGCCAATTCCAGCAATGTAATTAACCTCATCATTGAAGCATACAACGTGAGTACATTTTATTTTATTTTATTTATTTTTTTGTTAATTTAGTACAGCATCTACAGGGTCTCACTACACAGATGGGACTCATAGTGATTCTCCTGTTTTCAGCCTTCAAGCGCTGGGATTACAGGTGTGCCCCACCATGCCCAGTCTCGATTACTATCTAAGCTCCCCCCAGGAATGGGACCGGCACGATACACCAGGGATCGAACCCCTGGGTCGCTGTGCTTGCCTAAGCAGGCGCTTTAATCTGCTGAACTATCTGGCCAACCCTGAGTACACTTTAAATAAGTTCAATTTTGGACAGTACGTGGCCAGGGTATCTTTACTTAAATAATGTAAAACTTCTTTACACACAGTTTGGCAAGTAAAGAAGGCAACAATGCAAACAAATCGTGTAGCTAAAGGAAAAACTTTGTATTATCTTACACACCTTAGCATAAGCAAAGTGAAGGTGTGATCAAGGCCTGTGAGGAAATCTCTGAATATGTGCTGTCAGTAAGTGATGACCTCGTTGGGGAGCGTGTGCAAAGTGCATTTCTGTTTGTAAGATCCCCCCAGCCTGGCTAAACTCCTGTGGTCTAAACTCCTGTCTGGCAAGTGCAAGGACCCGGGTTTGAACCTTGGTCTTGGGTGCTGTGAAGCCCCAAGAACCCTGGGGGTGCCATGCTGGCCACCAAGACCAGGTGTGGTGGCGCATGCCTATAATCCCAGTGCTGGAGAGGTTGAGATAGGAGGATCACTATGACTCTGAGCTGTGTAGCCAGACTCTATACCAAATAAATAAAAAGTTAAAAAAGAAAGGATTCCCCCAATCTTCTTTGTCTTTTCCAAAGCATCTTTTATAGATTGATAGAATTTCTTTCACGGTCTTTTGCTGGAGAAGTTTGTTTGCCATTACCTTTCTGGCCATATTTTAGAGGATTTCGTATCTTGCCCAATACACACCCTCATGCATGGGGATCCCCTAGTACTGTAGAAAGAACTGATTCAGAGAGAGGGCTGTAGAGATGCCAGTGTGAGGTCCAGCTGCTGTCCTTAGAGTGAGCAGGAAGTAGCTTGCCCTTGCAGCCTCCTCCCTGGTTATGGCATTTGAGCCCAGGTTGTATAACAGGGTGTGTACTTTGGATCCTAGTTAGCTGGAACAGGTAAGGTCAGACAGGAGCCATGGCTTGTGGGCAGAGAAACGTTGGTTCTCCCTTCTTAGGATTCCCCCTAGTTAATGCCAGGCCTCTGTGCTCTATGGTCGCTGGTATTATAACTGGGTAGTTTAGACAAATATTTTCAGTTGTGTGCATCATTTTAAGATTGGACCCTTGTTAAGTAGAGCCTGTTTCTGAGTGTTTTGTGTTTCCGAGGCACTCATTTATTGGTTTGGCTTCACAGTATTTTTATTGAAATGACATTTTAGTTCTAAACAGCTTATTGTATCCTTTGGTTTTATGTACTCAAGTACCTTTTATTTGACACACCTGTTCATAACTAGTCTTTCTTTTAGTCCCTTTCTTCAGAAGTCATTTTGGAAAACACCAAATTGCCAGAAGGAGTAACCATAAATTACAAATCCTACTGCAAGAATGGGGTGAATGGAACAGGAGAAAACGGAAGGAAATGTTCCAATATTTCCATTGGCGATGAGGTATGTTGCACATGCGTTCCCTTTGGCGGAGAGATCGCTTGCGCATCAGAAAATTCACTTTCTGATTTGAGAGATTGTGTCTGGGTCTCTGAAAGACTTCTTTCTAGTCCTATGCTAAGGTAACAGTCTGGGTTTTTTCCTCCTTCAAGGTACATTTTGAAATTAGCATAACTACAAATAAGTGTCCAAATAAGAACTCAGAAACCATTAAAATCAAGCCTCAGGGCTTCACCGAGGAGGTCGAGGTCATTCTTCAGTTCATCTGCGAGTGTGAGTGCCAGAGCGAGGGCATCCCCCAGAGCCCCAAGTGCCACCACGGCAACGGGACATTCGAGTGTGGCGCGTGCAGGTGCGTGCTCAGCCAGGCTGCTGCGGGGGCAGGCTGCGGGGGGGGGGGGACGGGCTGCTGGCCGGCTGTGGCGGGGAGCAACGCATTATTCATTCCCGCCACCCCAGCTTGCCATGGGTTCAACTTGAGGATCTTTCCTGTCTCTGGTCTGATGACTTCCTCCTCGTCCCAGTATGAAAGCGCTCATAAGTCACGCCAGTGGGTTTTGCAAGTGTTAAGGGGCAGGTGGAGTCGTGCCTCCCCCCGCCCCTTGGTACCATTCTCAATTTTCTAGGCAAAATAAACCTACACAAAATATGTGTATAGGAAAGTGTTTGGGGAAAATGTTTTAGGAAATTGTGTAACACAGATATAGTGATTTTTATCTAAAATAGAATTAGGAAGCAATAAGGGATGTTTATCCTGTACTCTATCAATTCTGCATTGTTGGAATAATTTTTTTAAAAAATGGAATGTGTTGTAAAATTAAAAGGGCAAATGTGTTTTTTGGAGTGTAGACTCTTATCTTAGACCAAATTATTCTAAGTAATCCATACATGGCCACTTTTTTTCTCTTACAATACTGGGCATTGAACGGAAGGCTTTTGCGCTGAGCTACCTCCTGGCCTTTTTTCCTGTTCTATTTTCAAATTTTTGGAAACAGGGTCTTGTTAAATAGCTAAGTTGCCCAAGCTAGGAGTGAACTTGTGATGCGTCTGCCTCAGCCCGTCAGAGAGCCGTGGTTACAGGCGTGCACCAGCATACTTGCTGGTTACTTTTTATAAAAATTGAAACTAAATGTACTTTGAATATAGCTCCTTCCTTAAGAGACTAGAAGGAGAAAAGAACATTTTGAGATAAGTATCAGCCCCTGATAACTGTACTTACAAAGATCACTAGTTGTGAGAAAAATACATGGCCACGGTTCCCTACCAATGAATAATTGTCTCTTTTAAGTGGCATGTGGTAGTTCGGGCATGGTGGTACATGCCTGTTATCCCAGCACTGGGGAAGCTCAAAACAGGAGGATCACTATGAGTCTGAGCTGCGTAATGAGACTCTGTACAAAAATACATTTAAAAAAGGCATGTTATACATGTCTTGTTTGAATCATGAAAATCTACCTTTAGTGAAATTTCCTTTAACCCAAAAAATTACCTTGAAAATTCATTCTCATTTTTCCCTTTTTTTTTTTTTTTTTTTAAATCAGTGATAGAATCAGAATACCCAGAATACCCACTGGGCATTCTAAAAATATATAGGGCATCTGAAAATTCTGGACCCATAGGATGTGCTTAAACACTATGTTAGTTGTTTAACTAACATTGCATTTGATGTATTCAGTATATTTTTAGCTTCTGTGCATTTTTGGGGATGTGTTTTTAATGTTAACAATTGGACCATTGCTTGAAAACTTAGTGGTCATTCATCCATAATAGAAGAATAATGTTATGTCACTTGAAAATACATCTTTGGGGGCCGGGGAGATAGCTCAGTAGGATAAGTGCTTGCCTGGCAAGCTCAAGGGCCTGAGTTCAATGCCTGGTTCTGCAAAAAAACCCAAAAAAACAAAAAAACAACCCTTCACATTCGGCTTAAGAGTAAGTTTATTGTATAGCTGGGCATAGGAGTGCGCACCTGTCATGCCACTACTTGGGAGGCTGAGGAAGGACGATTGTGAAGTCAGGGCCAATCCAAGGCCCATAGCAAGTTCAGGGTCGGTATGGAGTAGGTAGTAAGACTTTGTGTCAAGATAGGAAAACAAAGTAAATTCTATTGTTTTTAGCTGTTCCTCTTACCTGTGCATTGCTGGGCTGTAGTTTTGCGTTTTGATCACATTGGTTACTTTCTGAAGATACCTTCTCCCTGGGCCACTGCCCAGGCAGCATGGGAAGCTGCTGGCTGTGGGCCTTGTCTGTCTGAGGCGTGCACAGCCCTCTGGGAGCCTGGGAGGCTGGAAGATGTGGCAGTGACTTGTTTCCGCTCCCGTGATGCTTGTTGTCAGTGAATCGTGGTGACTGTAATTCAGGGATTCTCTGCAGGTGTAATGAAGGGCGCGTGGGAAGACACTGTGAGTGCAGCACGGACGAGGTGAACAGTGAGGACATGGACGCCTACTGCAGGAAGGAGAACAGCTCTGAAATCTGCAGCAACAACGGCGAGTGTGTGTGCGGCCAGTGTGTCTGCAGGAAGCGGGACAACACCAACGAGATCTATTCTGGCAAGTTCTGCGAGTGCGACAACTTCAACTGCGATCGGTCCAATGGATTAATCTGCGGAGGTGAGAACGGTCTCTGAGGTGGTTGTAGAGTGTGGTCCCCGGTTGTACGATCTGGCATTGCCAAGAGTTTCCTCGGTCACTAAGTACGAAACAGGCTGCCCCCTTTAGGGACACTTTCTTCTAGCTTGATGCGTATTTGACTTTTAAGTCACTGCTGTGATTTTGTTTGGACATTATATTGAGAGCTGGTATTTTTCGCCGCAGGCAATGGTGTGTGCAGGTGTCGTGTGTGTGAGTGCTACCCCAACTATACCGGCAGCGCGTGTGACTGTTCTCTGGATACCACGCCGTGTGTAGCTACGAACGGGCAGATCTGCAACGGCCGGGGCGTGTGCGAGTGCGGCATGTGCAGGTGCACGGACCCCAAGTTCCAAGGGCAGACCTGCGAGACGTGCCAGACCTGCCTCGGCGTCTGCGCCGAGCACAAGTACGTACTTCCTGGCTGCTCAGAG